GACCTTCACCAAACAGAAGCTGTCCCGAAAACTTTTCTGTGGACAGGTTTGATTTTGAAAGTGAGTCCACATTCCACTGCTTGAGCCATAGATTCCTTCTCACCACATTAGCTGCCTGAGATCCAGCAGAATATTGTAAGCTATCCTGAGAGGCATCTGCTGCAAACTGGGCTGCATCCTTTATTTTGAGCAGGGATCTCTTTAGGGTGAGTGGATCTGGTTCAGGATCCTGAAGCAGATTGTCAGATCAAATCACTATGGCACGTGAGAAATTTGAGAGAACTGCAGACGCTCTGATGGACAAGGATGCTGCTTCATGTGCTCTCTTTAGCACTGTCTCATTTTTCCTATCCACTGCATCTTTTAGTATATTGTCCCCATCTTTTGATAGGACCACTCCTGAGTGTAGTGCCACAACCGGAGCATCCACTAAAGGTGCCTTCAAGTCCTCCATGATCTTATCCAGAAGGTCATAAAAGCCTTTTGGCTATGGTTTGTAAGGTTGAACCAACCCCAGGAACAGCCCACTCCAACCTGATAACCTCCTCACATTTTTCAGGAAAAGGACATTTAATTGTTTATTTTGCTTCTTGAAGCCTCTGGTATCCAGGTCAGGAGTGGTCTTGGAGGTCTTTTGTATCTCTGTCTCTATGTTGTACTTAAGAGTTGAGCCCACCTTCTTAAGAAGTCTCTGAAAGTGCTAAAAGTCTGGTAGAGCTTTCCTTTGTGTCAGATTCCTCCCCAGACCATTCACCTTCCTCTGTCTGAGCCAGTGATTGTCACATAACTGAGGTATGGGGCCCCTTCCCCCTCTGAATTATATCTACTAGTCAGCCTCCTTGCTTTCTAGCTGTTGTCTCTTAGGGGGACGTGAAGACTGAGACCCATCATTATCTGGTTTCTTTTTACCAAAGGACCTCTTTTTTCCCCCAACCGACCCCTCTGCTGCAGTTCTGACTCTGCAGGGATAGCCTGTGGGAACCAGGCTGCCCTCCAGGTATTCCAGTCTGAAGGGAACTGACCAAACATAGTATGGGGAAAAGGCACGGCCCCCATACTTGCAGTGGTCATGGCAGCGGGTCCCACCATGGTGGAAAATGCTGGGATGAAAGGTGCCCCATAATAGGTTGCTCTGCTGAGCCTGGGGTCTTGAACCAGTGGGGAAGGATTACAGGTGTTTGGTGGGGCCGCAGGAAACTCACTGACAGTTGCTGCCATGGAACCTTCAGCCACACTCTTAACAGCTTGCCTCTCCTCCCCCTCCCTTTCTGGCTGCCCAGAGACCTCCGGGGCCGATAGGGATGTTAGTGGCACTGATCTGCTTAAGCTTAGGTGATTCCCCGAGGCCTCAGGGGCACCTGCCTGCTCTTCACCTCATCCTGACGCCAAGACAGCATCTTGCAGCCCTTTCCCTTTGCCCGAGACCTCGGGCAGGCATGGCTTGCCTTGATGAGGGACGCTTTTCCCTGAGGGTCCTGCGACCAGAACCCTTTTTGAAGACTTCGAGTCCATCTTTAACTTCTCCTTTTTATTTATTTATTTACTTACTTTGTGACTGAAGTAGAGAGTGGAGCTAGGCTCTAACAACCCTCCTGAAGTGGCAGGACTATCGAACTGGAGGGACACCCACGCTCTGTCCTACTGGGCATGCTCAAAAATTTGCATAGCCCTGCCTGGAGCAAGAGGAGGCGTGGCCTAACCAGTGTGGAGGCCTTCCCCCACTGAAGGAGAGTAAGTAACAAAATGTGTTGTTTCTAATCTGATATATATATATATATATAAAAGCCCTAACGTATTGGCACTTTCCAGCTCTCCCATTGGCTGTGCTGTGCACTCCATCAGCCATTGGCCCACTGACCACCACTCAAGAGTACTCGCATGCCATTGGTGGGTGCTAGGTTCGCTTTTCATTCCTGGCCACTGGTAGCCTGGCCACTGTTCCCTGTCAGAATGAACTGCCAAAATGGCTCTGTTCTGTTGTCTGCAGTTCAGTTGTGATACCGTGTTATACCACAGCCAGTGTGGCGTAGCAGTTAGCGCTTCAGAGCAGGGTCTGCCACTCCCAGGTTCTTGCTGTGGAAGCTGAGTTGGTGATTTTGTATCAGGCACAGACTTTCAGCCTAACCTACCTCACAGGGCTCTTGTGCAGACTGAAAGGGGGAGAGGAGATGCTTTGGTCCCCACTGAGGAGAAAAATTGTACTCTTCCTAGGTAGAGGCTGCAGGGAAGGGAGAGGAGCTGGTAAGCCAAAGTCAGAGGAGAAGATAAGGCAGGGTGATGGTTGGCTGGGAAGGAGATAGGTTTGCCACCTTCAGGTTGAGAAATTCCTGGAGATTTAAGGGGTGGAGCCTGGAGGAGGTGGGGTTTGAGGAGAGGAGGGAACTCAGACAGATACAATGCCATAGACTCCACCCTCCAAACCAGTCACTTTCTCCTGGGGAACCATTGTAGCCAATCTCCAGATGAGGGCTGGAGATCACTCAGAATTACATCTGCTCTTCAGATAGCATAGATTAGTTCCCCTGGAGAAAACGGTAAGCTCTGTGTCATTATACCCTGCTGAGGTCACCATAGCAAATTGATGCTGAGTGCCCAAGGCAGGGGCACCTGCCCAGAGCTTCTTTCTAGAGCTCGTATTTATTTCCACAACGGTCCTTATTCCTAGTAAGTAATGAGCTTCTAACCAACAGATGTTTGAAAGCAAGCAGAAGGTACAGCAGGATCTCTCACATTGTCACTGCCCTGCTGCTAAACCATTCTTCAGTTGTGTTTTTGTCATGAGGGTTGCACTCTTGAGTCTTTTTCTGGGCTGCCAACAGCACAGCCAAGCTTATGTGATGATGCCAAGTTTATTTAAAGTCTAATTTCCCCCTTTCCCCAATGACCCACTTATAGAATGCCAGAGTGCACTGATCCAAGAATAGCTAGCCAATGCACACTCTTGTTCCTTTGAACAGTCTTCTGTGATACAGACATTCAAGACTATATCTGTGAAACACTCTATTCTTACAGTGTTTTCTTCCACACAAATCGAAAAGGCTGAAAAATAATGCTGTAATAAAATGGGCACGGAACAAGGTTTTAACTAGCCATTTTAGAAATCCCTGGGCTTTCACTTTTTGTAGATCCAGCCACAACTTACTCGACTTCTGAATCAATGTGCCTTAGTTATGTAACCATTTCCAGACTAAGATCACTTTAACATTGTTCAGTTGTTTGGCATTCACTACTTTGACTGTCTCTTCCTATACAATGCTTATTATCAGAAATGTGAGCAATTACCGAGACTCTCTCATCCTCCGCCGGTATGGTAGCTGCAGAGAGGATGGCTGCTAGTGTGGCTGCCCTGGCTGCCTTCCTCATTGCTCTCTGACTCTGAAGATTGGTAAAGTAGTTGACAGCTGCAAACTCGATAAGTGCAGAGAAGACAAAGGCAAAGCACACAGCGATGAACCAATCCATGGCAGTAGCATAAGACACCTTGGGTAAAGAGTGCCGGGCACTGATACTCAGTGTGGTCATGGTTAGGACAGTAGTAATCCCTGAAAGAAACAGTGAAAAGGTTTATACCCTTTTTAGGCATGCAAGCAAACACTACCTGAGTATAACTCCCACACACTCTTCCAATCAGTTGGTTGTCTTACAGCTTGACCCTAGCCATGCTTTCTTGGAAGCAATCCTATTCATTTTCATAGGGCTTATTTCTACAAGTCTCTTTTGGACTACAAATGTACAGCATGACTGCAAATATGTTCAATCAGAGGTAAATTTTGTTATGCCCAATAGCACTTGCTCCCTGGTAATTGTGCATAGAACAGTAGCTATGTTGAGCAATCCTACGTATGTTTACTAGAAATAATGTCCATTGTTCAATGCCCAATCCTATCCATAATGATTCAGAAGTAACTCTTATTAATTTCAATGGGCCTTAAGCTCCAAATAAGAGCAGCATGCAAAAGACAACATGGTTTTTGTGTACAGCCGGATCCTCTACACATATACTTGGAAGTAAATCCAAGTGAATTCAGTGGGCTTTACTCCCAAATCATTGTACATAAAACTGCAGCCTTAAACTATACAACACTGGCTTAAGTAAGGAATAATCCATAGGTCTACCAAACTGGACAAGAAATGGGGTGGGTGGGAATATAGATACATAGATAACATATTAATTTAATATGAAAGCTCTTCAAGCTATTCATTCATTCAATCACTCTTCCTTTAATTAAAAACACTAACTTTGATCTCCATAGTAGCTTTTCAATACACTGAATGAATAACTGAACAAATAAACAAGGTCATAATAAAACAAATTAATAGCAGTATCGGGCTGTTTCCACACAGGGATTTTTCCCTCTGTGGACGACAGAAAGCTTTTGCTAGCAGTAGTTGAGTTCCATCTTGGCTGAGTTTCTCTCCCTCTCCATGCAGATACTATAAACCTTTGGGATGGCCAAAGGCACAAACCAAAGTGCTCTTGACCCTTTGGCTCTTTCTTGGGAGGAACTAGCCCAGGACATAATGTTGTTTTGTTTGGTTTATTTGTGCTGTATTTATTTGTAGTTATTGTTGTAAGCCACTTTGGGTCCCATCAGAGAGAAGAGGAGGGAAGGAGGGAAGGAAGGGAAACATGACTCATCTGGCGTCTGGTTCTCTCCCTTTACTCTTGACAAAATATTAACCTCATTTTTTTCTGAAGTAAAGGGATTGTAGGAGAGCTGCGGGTAGAGAGATGTTCCCCTACAGCCATCACAGGGAAGGGGGCAGAGCTAAGCTTAGCCTTCAAAATGGTAGAGCTAAGCTCCTTGTTTCTCTCCACCCTTTCAGGCATTTAAAGAGCATTTAGTCCCGTTCCCTGCCAAGGCACAGTATAGCGTTTCATTGCAGCTCAGTAGAAAAAGGGAGGGGGGTCTGGGCCTTGGAGGCCCCACTGAGATTGTGTCTGTGCTTTTGTGCAGGTAAAGTGAATACACATAAAGTGAACACACAGGCAATGTAGAGTGACAAATGAATCAATAGAACAATGTGATGTGGTATGGGGCCAAAACCATAACATGGCATATTTATTTATTATTTATTTATTTGTTTGATTTGTTTCCCGCCCTCCCTGCCAAGGCAGGCTCAGGGTGGCTTACATGCATTATGTTAAAACAACTAAAACACAGAATTAAATAAAATCACAACAGTATAGTAATAAAACATATCATAAAGTGCTAGTACATTCATAGATGATGGCGGCATTCATACCAAAAACAGTTCTAGCTGGAACAGACTCCTTATTGATCCAGAAAGAAACCTGTGAAAGGATGACTGTCATGATGCAAGGGGTATATATCTGTATCATGAAGTAGCCCATCTTCCTTTGTAAGTGGAAATAAACAGTCATTGTTACATATTCACCTGTTAGGAAACAAGTATATTAGTATTAACTTTGTCCATGTATTTATCTTTGTCCACGTATTAGAAAATCTTGGCATGTTTAAACAAACAAATAGACAAGTTTGCATGTACTCTACTTTAAGATTTCTATGCCTGGAAAAGCTGCATCCTGCAACTTGAGTAAATTTTGTAAATTGAAGAGATCTGCATATTTTCGTTTATTCCACATAATTTTGCAAATGTCCACGTTACACACAGCCCATTCTGATTTTCCTAGTCACTGGGGTATGGAAATGGAACCAGAATGGAAAACTTATCCAGCGACCATTCTGTCTACATATATAATCGCACAGGAATTTACTTTTTAAATGAAAACTTAAATGTTCAGGATATTAAAGACTGTGCATAATCTCACATTCTGCATTCTTTCTATGCCCCATGGTCTACAAGGACCTATTAATAGTTTTATTTGTTCCGATTTGTAGCCAAAGCAATCTCTAAAGGCTGATGGTAGAGTCTAGTTTCACACTCCCCTTATGAAACACTGTTTTCCTTAAGTCTGTGTTCTTCCCCCATAAATTAGCATTAACTGCTGTGTGGCTGCATAGCCCATATGGTGTAGTGGCTAAAGTGGCACACTAGATTCTAAGAGACCCAGGTTCGAAGCCCCACTCTACTGTGGAAGTTTGCTGGGTGAACTTAGACATACTCAGCCTGATCTACATCACAGGGTTGTTGTGATGATAAAACAGAGGGAAGGAGAACAACATAAGCTGCTTTGGGTCCTCACTGGGGAGAAAGGCAAGGTATAAATGAAGTAAATATAGCAAAAATAAAGAGTGTGACCAGGAGAGTCTAGGAATGTGCATTTGGATATTAACTAATCAAAATAAAATCTATTCCATCGGGGGGGGGCATGGTGGCTGAGCTTCTGGCTGGCTGCATCCCTTCCAGCTCCTGCTATTCCCATGGAAAAATTAGACTTCTGCTTCCAGAAAATACAGCCAAGTTTGGAACAAATACCAATGCCAGCTATGGGAAGGACCAGAGCAAAGAAAGGTACTAAAAATCCTCCTTATAGACCTCCAAAAAAGAGTAATACTGAACTTGAACACAGATGATTCAAACCTAGAGACATCTCTGTTAGAGGAAACAAGAGGTGGACCCGCGATACTCACGGGAGGTTGGGGAGGCAGAGCTGACATTTTGCAAATCCACTCTGCACATACCTGGGTTACAGTTATTCCATTCTGCCTCTTTTCTCCTCCCCGCAAATCGCCTCAGCTCGGCCCGCCGCCCCTCCACCACTCACTGCTTGTTCGGGGCCGCCATCTTGGCAGGCGGGGAGGCGCTCCGTCACTCACGCCTCCCTCAGGTGGGGCCTCGCCAGGGGATTCAGCGTGCTGGAGCTTGGAAGGAGGGACCGAGGGTGGCCGCGGGAGGGGGCTGCGCCTTCCCGACTCCCCTGGTAAGTTGTGGGGGTGTGTAGCTTTGGGAGGCCGGCCTTCCACGAGGGAGAAGAGGCCTTCTTGCTCGCTCGCCTGCCTGGGCGCTTTGCCCTGGGCGCTTTCAGCATGTGCAAAAAATCAAAAGAAGGGGGTGCTGTGATCTGGCCCAAAGGTTTTTAAATCATTTTCTAACATTTTTAGCAGGAAGGAAACTTGGCAGCTGGCAACAGAGGCCACGCACCACCCCATCTCTTCCCCCCGCCTGCCAGCTGAGCAGAAAGGGGGTTTAAAAACCCCTCTCTGCTCAGTTGACCAGTGGGGGAAGAGAGGGGGTGACCACATGGCCTCTGTTGCCGGGCACCAAGCCTTCTTCCTGCTAGCAAGCACGGAGAAGACTCGGCCTGGACAGTAACAAGGTGGCCCCACCGCCTTCCTCCCCCCCCCCCCCCCCGGCTCCGAAGCGATCACTGGCTGAGCTGCTCGTCTCCCTCGCGGCTGTTTCTCCTCCCCCCCTCCCGGCTCGCCGCTTACCTTCCCAGTAGTGCCGGCGTCTGCGGCGGTCGCAGAGCGTTCCCTGCGCATGCGCAGGGGACGCTCTGTGAGTTTCGGGGGGATTTAAACACACACACACACACGAAGTTTTTTTTCAAGATTTAGGATTTTTGTGCACACGTGGGGACCACACACACACACACACACACACTTAATAAAATATCAATTTTAAAAAATCTATTCAATCCTTTTATATAATTAGTCCAACTTATCCAATCATTAATATGTTGATGTTCAGTAACTTCAGAAATGGCCATTTATTTCTGTGCTTTGGTGTATGCCTTTTTGCACCTGCCTCAAGTGAAGATAGTGGGAACAACAGTAAAACAAAGGATTGACTCAGCAGGTATTCTAATTGACAGGGGTATCTTCCAGTCAAAAGAGTTCACAAATTTTGCACCAAAAGAGGATCATTCATTTCTATGCACAACACCTTCACTTCAGAAGGGCTTTCGGGAACTATATGAGCTTTGTTTGCTTGCTCTTTTGTTCCCTGCACTGCTGCTCTATTTGCACTGCCCAGGAAAATCCTTTCCTTCTATCTTTGGAATGTGGATGCTGGGCAGGATAATGGCACAGGTTCCACCATCATAGACAGTTTACCTGCTGGGGCCAGGTGCAAACATTTGCTTAAAGTCCCAGGAGTCAGGCAGCTGCAACCTGTGTTGGGACTAGAAGTGGAGACTAGGTCATGCTACACAGTCCCACCACCTCCTGCAGGAGACAAGGGCAATTGTGCAGCTATATTCTCAGGCCAGCTGCCTGTTGCTGAGCAAAATGGGAGGGGAAAAAGAAACACATGCTTCCACTACCCCAGTGTAAAGCAGGGCCAAATTGGATGAAGCACCAGAGACCTGCCATGATAAAGGATCTGAGATCTCTTTCTCTCTCCCTGTCTTCACGAGAGATCAGTGCAGTAACTTTTCTTGGATTTCTCTCTTTTTTAATTTTGTATAAAAGAAGTGGAACTTTTCTCATCTCCCTTCCCCTCAGCTGCTGTTAACTCCAACAGGTGGAAATGTCAGGCAATATCCCATTCATTATGCAAACAAATCAGAAAGAGGGAGATCTACTTTGAAATAAATCAGAGCATGCAGGCAAGGGGAACTAAACCCTAAACCCCACCCTGCCTTAGTCTGGAGCCTGAAGCATTTGTTGCCCCAGCTAAGCTCCACTACCAAAAGTCTTCTGAGATAGAAACCAATAAGGTAAGGGGGAGGAGAGTTTGACAGAATGCTCTGGTTTTGTTCAGAAATAGACACCTGCCAGCCTTACTTGAGTAGCTAGGAAAAAATGAAAAGCCATCACATGCAAATTCACACCTCCCTGTGCAAGTAAGAAATGTATAGTTCTCTATAGAACAGAGATTCTTTTTCCCATGTGCATGGACTTTGGGAATAGAAACCCTTTAGATAAGGGATACAGTTCCTGAGAATGTCATTCCAATCCGGGGGGGGGGGGGGGGGTAGATCAAGAAATTTATTTCCCGTTAAAATGAATGAAACCAAAAAAAATGGAAAAAAATAATTCAAACACATCTAATAATTATGACAACGTATACGATTATTTTCAAAATAAACTAAAAACAAATGAAAGTTACATTTCCCTAGGACTGGCAAGAGTGCTGAGAAATCCTCATAAAGCCTTCCTAACATTTTCCATCGGGCTATCAAGTCATAGGTTGGTTGGTTGTGTGCATACATGTGTGTGGAAAGCACCATGCTGCAAATCAGTCTCCAAGAGGAAGTCAGTAGAACTTTTCCAACACTTTTAGACCTGTGAAGTACTTTTTGCATAATGTCAGAAATCTGGATGTCAATTGTTTCAATGGTCATTTTAATTGTGTTTGGGATATCTGGAGTGTGTTATTTTATTCTAGTTTTAATGGGAAATGTTTGTTAACTATTTTGTAAAGGTAGGGTAAAGGTAAAGGTTCCCTTGCTCGAAAGCCAGTCGAATCCGACTCTAGGGTTGCGGTGCTCATCTCCGTTTCAAAGCCGAAGAGCCAGCGCTGTCCGAAGACGTTTCTGTGGTCATGTGGCCGGCATGACTAAACACCAAGGCGCACGGAACGCTGTTGCCTTCCCACCGAAGTGGTCCCTATTTATCTACTTGCAATTTCTTGCTTTCGAACTGCTAGGTTGGCAGGAGCTGGAACTAGAGACAGGAGCTCACCCTGTCTTGCGGCACCCGGGTCTTGAACCGCTGAACTACTGACCTTCCACAGCCTGCAGTTCAGCGTTTTAACCACTTGAGCCACCGCAGCTTCCAAGGTAGGGTACAAATGCTTAATTAAATAAACAAACAAACAAATATTAACACTCCTCATGCAGTTATCTTACCTGTATTGGATTTAATTGTTTCACTAGAAACTGTTTGTCCTATAAGATCATACTGGAGAAGACTGGAAGACTCTTGTGGTACTTCCACAGAATGGAGTGGTCCTTTTTTCCAGGTATAAATCATCTCACTTTTAGGATAAGCATCTAAGTTAGGAAGAGAGGGGTGAAATCGGAAGTATTCATTACATTTAACTTTCAGTACCAAAATAAGCTTCAAATCTACACTTGTTGGTAGGTGTTTCTTGAACATGCAGAGTGGTGTGATCCCTGCTCCATGCAGTGTTCTCAAAAACACACTGTCCCAGAAATAATATCCGCCAGGTCAATTTGCAAAGGTTCAGAATGGGACTTGGGTTTCTGGAGCACCATATTAGAACTGAAATACAACTCTTTCCATGGGCTCAGGTGGGCTTCTCTTGGGCCTTTTGAAAAAGACGGGGTATAAATGAATTAAATAACTAATAAATACTATCAGATATTCCATTGGCTAAAGTGAAGGAGAATAGTTCAAACATTTTAAATTCCTCCAGCAATCCATTTTGCACACTGAAATTTAGGTCTCTGTTAAGATCTATGGTTGGCCTACGTAAGGTTACAGGTTCCTTTTCGGAGTATTGTCCCAGTGAGTTACTAAGTCAAAGGTTCTTCTTTTCAAATGTTACTAAGTCAAAGGTTCTTCTTTTCAATAAAAAAGAGGGATAAAGAAGTACAAGTGTTCAGTAGCAGGTCAATCCATGGAGCAAGTGGACCATTTCAAATATCTAGGAGTTATTTTTTCAAGCAAGTCTTTCTTGGAAAGTGCCCTTGAACTCTGTTGTAAGAGTAGCTATGAGTATTGGGAAGGCCATCTCAAGATTTTATTACTCCTCTGGTGGCCAATATGTTTGCTCCCTTGAACATATGAAGCTCCCTTATACTGAATCAAACCCTTGGTCCATCAAAGTCACTATTGTCTACTCTGACTGACAGCAGTTCCCCAGGGTTCCAGGCAGAGAGAGCTCTTTCGTATCACCTATTGCCTGGCCCTTTTTTAAATGGAGATGCCAGTGACTGAACCTGGAACCTACTGTATGCAAAGCAGATGCTCTACCACCAAGCCACAGCTCCTCCCCTGTTCCTACAGCAGTTAAAGTATTTAATGCTAAAGTCTCTGGACAGATGTTATATGCTGCCGGGGTTTGGATCAGAGCAGTAACAGACAATGTCAATAGACCACTATTAAGATTCCTATATAATATTTTGAGAATCCCTCCATGTGTGAACAGAAAAGCTCTGAGAGCCAAAGTTACAGAGATGTCCTTTGAAGCAAAGGCCTGGGGCAGAGCATTCAATCTGAAAATTGAAGTCATTGCACTGGCTTCCAATAGCATTCCGGATTCACTTCAAGGTGCTGGTTTTGACCTTTAAATCCCTAAATGGTCTGGGGCCTGCCTACCTGAGGGACCGCCTTTCCCCATATGTTCCCCCAAGAGTACTGCGATCCGGAACGCAAAACTGTCTGCCTCCCCCCCCCCCCAGGACTAGGGATGTCAGGTTAGCGGTAACTAGGATCAGGGCGTTCTCCCTGGTGGCGCCAACGCTGTGGAACAAGCTCCCTCATGAGATTAGAGCTCTACGGGACTTCCAGCAGTTCCATAGAGCCGTTAAAACGGAACTGTTTCGCCAGGCATTTCAATAAGAACTGATTACGCCGGTGGTGTCGCACTAGCACTTTATCATAGGATGGATTAGCTGGGATTTTATGGAACTGTATTTTATATTTTGTAATTCTTGGTTTTAACCAAATGTTGGTTTTAAATTGCTTGTAAGCCGCCCTGAGCCACTTTGGTGGGAGGGCGGGGTAGAAATGTAATAAATAAATAAATAAAATAAAATTAGGATCCTAAAATCAAATCCAGAATCAAGCGTACTTGGACTAGTCAAGTCGGACCATCATACAAGTGACTGGGACAGATTACTGGATCACAAATTATCATGTTTGGGCATTGCCCATGATGTGACAGAAACAATGAGTAGAGAAGAATTGATCCAGCTCATTATAAGATGTCTGAGGGACTTTGATTATGAGAGGACAAGCAGGAACGCATGAAAAACTCACAGGAATATTCCCTCACTAATTCTATGTTTGAGTCTATGTCCCAGAAAAGAACTTGAAGCACAGTGAATGCTTTTCACATATTATACAGCTGCCACTTCAGTTTCCCTCCTTGGCTTGTAAGTGCATCTGTTGCACACTCACCTTTCTCTCTCTCCTTAGTCACTAGCCCTGTTTAGTTTCCAAGATCTGACACAATCGGCCTAGCCTGGGCTATCCAGGTCAGGGCAATCATTGACTAAGGAGGTCTAAAGCCTAGAATTCCATCTAGTCATGATCTTATATTTTCCCTTCAGGTTGGATAGGGAATCCTGAACTGAGATGAGAAAAGCCTGTTTTCACTTCCTAATGTGAATTCCATGCAACAGCTATCCTAAGCTTGAGACCTGACGTACAACAGCTTGCACTCCTAACGGACAGTTCCAGGATTTAATAAAAGCCATGGGAGGATAGCTTGCCAAGTTTCTGTCTCCCCACTACTTTTTCCTGGTGTAGTACACTTCCAGGCTACTGGTTTGGCTGAGTAAAGGAGAACAGAAGGAGGAGATGTTCACTCCTTTCCTCCACACTGAGCAAATATCTATCCAAGAGTAAAGTCTGCCAAATCAGGCAGGTATTGTTCCCAAGAATAGCTGGCTCTCACCAAGTGATTTGCCCAATATGTCAATGAATACCATGTAAATGTGCAGCACTGATTGTAGCTTGGGTTGCAATAAGCTTTTCATCCTTATGCTACATTTGATTTTTAAAAACAGGGTATCAGAAACATTTTATTCTCTCCCTAAAGTGAGCATGCAATTTATTGCTCTATCTAAATATAGGAGAGGGAGTCCTGGAGCAACTGGGACAGGAGTAATGTTTTCTGCCTTCACAGGCCTACAGTTCTCAAGGCTATCTATAAAGTACAATTTAATACTACCTTTCCTCTAGGAAGCGCAAGACAGCAGCCATTAGTTCTCCCTTCCCCATTTTAGCATCACAACTATTCTATGAAGTAGGTTAGTTCAAAGTAGGTTAGTTCAAGAGAATGCAGATGACCCAAGGCGAGCTCCATGGCAGTGTGTGGATTTGAACCCAGGTCTCTCAGATCCTTTTGTTGTTGTTCAGTCGCACAGTCGAGTCCGACTCTTCGCGACCCCATGGACCAGATCCTACTCCTATACTTTAACTACTACTGGCTCATGCAACACCATGATCCATAATCTGGATTCTTTTTCCATCTTTCTAAATAGTAGGGGAGACAGAAGGGTCACAAACTAAGCACATATCTGAGTTGAACCACTCAACACTTAAAAGCCCTCCAGATTGAGAATTCTAACTGCTTAGACAAACACCTGATTTTTCTAATTATATTGATTTTTTAAAAATTTCTACTATATTAAGAATTTTTTTCAGCCAAACCACAGACTTCTGTCCACTTTTGGGCAAAGAAACTAAGTTGCTGTATCCCCTGGAGTTCAATACACTAGTCTGCAATGGGCATTCACCCAAGAGAGATGAAAAATAATAAAAAGCACATAAGATATTCCCTGTATATGGAAGGATCAAGTCTTCAGCCCTTTGCTTTACTTGGGAGTAAATCCCATTAAAATCAGAGGGACTTACTTGTGGGACCATGAATAGGCTCAGGCTGCCTATAGAATATGAGATAAAATAGTTTGGGGAAAGGTACAATTTAGTGTTGTATTCCTTAACCAGAATTCTCCTGACTTGCAAATGTCTTTGCTTGTATTCCTCTTTCTGGCTGCATAATCCACCTTTGACTTTGTTAGACTGTTTCTCTGCTATGGCATGTATTCCATTTGGTTGTATTAGACCCTCTGGACCTCCAGATATAACCCTTTCATTTGGATTCTGTTTAGAGGAGGGGGTATTCTCTGGAGGAAGGCATGACTTCATTCTCATGCTTTCTAGGTGTCATTTTCTATTCCAAATGTGCTATTTTTAAAATTCACACTTCACAACATCAAAGGGGTTTTTTGCACATAAAGAACTTCTTTGCACTTACAAATTACTAAGGCTCAGTTTTTACAGAAAGATATGAACTGGCTGCAGACTTACAGCTCCCAAATTTCAGTGGACAAGCATGCCCATCCATAGGGAAGTTTACCAGTCGCATTGGACAGTCTGCATTAATGGTAAGTCTGAGAAAAAAGAAAGCAGAATCAGACTAAATGGAATCATCACCAGAGGAACAAAAAAATAAATGTGAAATGACAAATTAGAGCGAGACCTTACCTCATTGTATATAGAACTGTCCCATTCTGCATTATCCTGAAAAGTTTGTTAGGGGTCGTCATATTGTGAGCAATGGACTTTTTGCCATTTCTAAAAAAGGTATCTGGGGTCCAGATTTTATTGACCATCAGATTGTTCAGTCTCAGAATTTCAGTGGGCCCACCAAATTTCAACCTCTCATCAATCCAGGTTTGCCGGAAAAAAACATCCATTGTATATTCCTAGAGGAAAACAAGCCAATCCACAATCAGAACCAAACAGCATTCATGGTTGCTCAAGCTTACCTACATGTTAACCACATTTAATTTACTACTTAGACCTATCTCCCTTAAGTAGTTACTAAAAAGGAATTGGCCTATGGAAAAAAGAACACTACACATACCACGACATGTTTAGTTCCAAATCAATCAACAAACAGTTTATCTTCCTTCACTATAAGGGAAATGTTTTTATTCCTAAAACAGAATGTAATTCCTGATTAGCACTATTGATATAATATAAGGTGTGAAGTGAGCACAGGTTTTACTTTTGTGGGAGGCTAAAAGTTCGCCCAGAGAAGAAACTGAAGAAGTGGGTGGGATGAGATTTAGTGGGGGATTTTTATTTTTGCAATGACAATAGGAAGGAAGTTTCATAGGACTGGACTACATGCAAAGATAAGCAGGACCAAGATACCTTTTTGATCATCCCTTTTCTTGCAAATATCATTGTGGAGCTGTTAGTGTTTCTTGGGACAAGGTAGGCTGCAGCTATTAAAGAACTAAACTGGCTACAGATACAGAAAATTTTATTTCAGTGATTCTTAATCCTTTAATACATCCACTCATTTGCACCCCCAAAGCCTTACTAACTTCTTTGGCACTGAATTATTATACATTGAATGATTTGATGTATCTTCATCCTGTCTTTCCTCTGAGGACCTCACTGTGGCATACCTGGCTTTTCCTTTCTCCATTTTGTCCTCACTACAACCTTGTGGGGTAGGTTAAGACTGACAGAGGGTGATTAACCCAAGGTCACAAGTACGTTACATGACAAGCAAAGATTTGAACCTGGGTCTCTAGGATCCACTGGAAAGTTATAGCAAGTTTTGAATACACTGCTGCACAGTTTGCAAGGATCTGCCAGAAGTCTTTATAGTTAAAAAGCCCTTCGAGCCTTTTGGAGTATAGACAAAAAACTAAAGACCAGAATTTAGATTTAAATCACTTAAATGACTAAGTGAAGTATGTGCCATGGAGTCACAAACAACTCATGGGAACCCCATGAAGTTCCACCTAGTGGGGTTTTCAAGGCAAGAGATGAGCAGAGGTGGTTTGCCATTGCTTGTCTCTGTGTAGAGATTCTGGACTTCCTTGCTGGATGATCTCCCATCCAAATACTAACTGTGATCAACCCTGCTTAATTTCCAAGCTCTGACAAGATTGGGCTACTAGAGCTCCCACCATATTTATTTATCCAGCAGGAAGTCCCAGGATTTCAGTGGGGATGGCAGCTATGATCAGGATTCTCTCTTCCTTTACACCAGAACCCAAAGCTAACGTGAAATCTTATCCAGATTCCAGCATGAAAGGGGTGTGTGTGTGCTTACAGTCACTCCATCTACAAAAAACACAATGACTCAAGCCCACTTCCCTAACTGCCGGTTGCCATCTGCTCTTCCACTGAGTAAAGGAAATACTCTGAGTGCTTCAACTTGGCTAAATTTTACTTCAGTTCTGCGACTCAGAATGCCTCCTTGATGCCAACAGGAGGCCTGCCTTTCCAGCCTTGGGAGCACCACGCTGCAAGGACTGAGAGAAAAGGGGGGAAGTGGCATGGTGAGGAGAGGGTTCACCTTGGCGACCTGCTTGAAACTCAAGATGCCCCAAAGTAAATTCTCCAAGAAGCCTCGCTTGGTCCTTTCACTGGCGGTCTCTCTCTCTGCGGCCCCAGCCAGCAAAGCAGCACCAGATCCCTCCGAGGCAGAGATTGCCAAGAAGATTACAGCGAGTAATCTGCTCTAATGACAGTCCACTCAGATGCTACCGTAATGAATCCTGCAAAACAGGGGCGGGGGGGGTCAGATTGTTCAGTCTCAGAATTTCAGTGGGCCCACCAAATTTCAACCTCTCATCAATCCAGGTTTGCCGGAAAAAAACATCCATTGTATATTCCATTTCCACATCTGATACGGGACCAAAGCTGGTTACATAGATGTCTGTCTTGACTTCCGTCACAGCTCCTGGAATGCAGTTCAGTTTGCGAGAAAGAGAATCCAAGAGGTTGATGATAATGAATGCACTTCTACCAGCACTTCTGCAAACTTTATCCTGCTTCTACCCACAGAATCGCCTCTGCAACTTCACAGCACTTCGTGCTCACTTCGCTAGCAAACAATGCGCACAAACGTGAAAGATGTGGGGCGACTCAGCAGGCCAGCCCCGGAGGCAAAGAGCGATGCGATCCCCAACTACGGACGGCGAGGGCTGAACCCAGCCAGGTCTACTCGGAAGCAAGCCTTACTGAGGGCCTAGACATGTTTATTCGTTCGTCTCCCTAACAGTTTATTCGTTCGCTGCCTCCCTAACAATCTTACTTCTATATAACTAAGTAGGATTTATGATACATGGGGAGAGGTAGATCAGGCCGGGTTAGATTCTCCAGGTTCCCTTTCAAACGGGTAAAAAAAGGGGAAAGAATAGAAGAGAAAGCACCTGGGTTGCCTCGGCCTCCAAAACCGGGTCGGAGCCGATTGTCGTAACCCTCCAAAAGTTTGTCGAGGATCCGGGTGATGCTTTCGGAGTACAGGGCGCCCTCGCCGGCGGGAAAGTCCACCGCTAGCAACTCGTCGAGGCTGCAAGCACAAGGACAAGGATCCAGAGACCAAACCAGTTCCCCCTTCCCATCCCATCCTAGAAAAGTTGCTTCCTTCTCCATCAACAAGCACGCCTCCCGTTTCCTGTCCCGCCCAGCCAACCAGGAGAGCCTCCCCACCGACCTCTCAGCGCGCCACAGTTAGGACTTACCAGAAAGTGAAGCACGCCCAAGACAGCCACCAAGCCATGCCTGCACGTTGCCCCCAAGCCCCTGACGCCCTCCCGGTTAACTGGAGCCCGCCTCGGAGCCCATCTTCCTTTCGTCCTTCCCCCCTCTGCTTACTCAGTCCAACTACGGCTCTAGGGAAGTGCAGATGGGCAAATGGACGTGGCCCCACCTTCCCGGGTCGCCTCTTCCCCTCCTCCTGCTCCTCCGGAGAGTGGCGACTGATTCCCCCCCACAGTCCTCCAGCCTCATCTGAGTGCTTCGGTTGTGGAATTACAGTTTGAAGGGACGGTGCCCGGTCGGAGAGCAGTGACAATAATCGAATAAGGCATTAGGGGAGATTAAAATGAAGAAATCCACTGCTAGTTTTGGCATGGAATTAGCAGGGACCCGTTAGGAAATCTGGAAAAGCACTGGCATCTTGCTGATAGAGATTATGTTCGAAATGGCCTCAGCTTTTATTATTTTATGGTTCACAGAGAGATTATTATGCAGCCTGTGCATGATTAGGACCCCCCCTCCCCTTAAAATCTTTCATTTGCCCAGTTTGCTGTTTTCTTCCCTAAACTGTAACCAGGCCTTTCATTGTACTTAGCTGCACTAACCATATTCCCCAGTAATTTATGTAGTTATTCCCGAGCACACATGCAAATATTTTTAAAGACTTCCTGACCTCTATCTGGACCTGGACCATAACACCACATTGTGAAGTGTTCACTGAACTATTTATTTTATCTTGTTGTGCCCTAAATAGTCTGGGACCAGCATATCTTCAGGACCACCTTTCCTGGTATATCCCCCAAAGAGTTTTACGCTCTAGTGATGAAGAAGAAGAAAAAGAGATTGGATATATACCCCGCCCTTCACTACCCAAAGGAGTCTCAGAGGGGCTTACAAACTCCCTTCCCTTCCCCTCCCCACAACAGACACCCTGTGAGGTGGGTGGGGCTGAGAGAACTCTGACACAAAATGCTTTTTTTTCCAAGGACAGCTGTGCCAGAGCTTGTGACTGACCCAAGGTCACATCAGCAGGTGCAAGTGGAAGAGTGGGGAATCAAACCCGGTTCTCCCAGATTAGAGTCCGCACACTTAACCACTACACCAAACTGGCTCTCTGCTGCTGATCCCTGGCCCAAAGAGCATCCAGCTGTCCTCAACCAGAGCAATGGCCTTTTCAGCCCTGGCTCCAACCTGGTGGAACACTCTTCTGGGAGAGATCAGGGCCCTGTGGGACTTGTTAGGGTTCCACAGGACCTTTAAAACAGAGTTGTTCCACTGGGCTTATGGCTGAGAGCAGCTACAGGCTCCATCTTGACAGGTTCCATCTCAGATTGTCCCCCCCCCCTTTTATGTATGTATTTATTTGGATTTTTCAACTGCCCTTCCCCAGCAAGTCAGTCTCATAACATGTACAACATAGTCAGAAAACATCAATTGAGAACAGATTAAAACCAGTAACAAACAGAAAGCAAGTGGAGATGGTGCAAGAAAAACCAGTAACCCACTATCTCATGGGAGGGGGGTGGGAGTACCAGGATGAAACCATCGTGGAAATTTTGACACTTCTCGTTGCCATCTATTCAAGACCTCAATTTCTTTCAGTATTGGGATAGTTTGGAACAAAAACATCAACTGTGGTAAAACATTCATTTTAACCACTGAAATTCTTCCCAATAAAGATAAATTCATATTGTCCTATTTCTTGAGGTCCTGCAATATTTTGGGACCGCCAATAGATTTTGATCTGTAGAGCACAACCAGGAGAGGCAGTCCCTTTCTCCCCTTCCCTTCCCCTTTCCTTCTTATCGTACAGTCATAGATTACTCCCTCCTGAGATTTTACACCATCTTTTAGTTGTATAGCTGGTTATATTCAATATGTATTTTATTCATTATGTATTTACTATAATTATGTGGATTTATATATTAGAATTATAATGTTTTCATGGTTGAATGCTTTTATAGATGACTTGGAGTAAGGCCCGTTGTGGGAAGAAATACAACGAACTCTAGAAGGAAGCTACAGGTGAGTGTCCCAGCTGTGGCTAGTGGGGCGGCAGACGGAAGGGGAAAATAGAGGGAGGCAAGCCATGTTTATTTCCTTCTGCTTTGCTATAAGGCAGGGTTGCCTCAAGTCATTTTGCTGCCCTGTGGTTAGTATGGGAGGACAGCCTCATGGTAACAGGTATGGTTCCCTCCACCCCTGACTTATGCTGATTTGGGGTTGTGCAGTGGCAGCTAAGGTAGAAAAGCACCTTCTCCTATGCCATGTCTTCTGGATTCCAAGGGTCTGGAAAGCAGTTCCATAGCCAGTTACAGGGTTACCAACTCTGGGTTGGGAAATACCTGTAGATTTGAGGGGTAGAGCCTGGGGAGGGAAGGGGTAAGGAGGGACCTCAGCAGGGTATAATGCCATAGAATCCACTGCCCAAAGCAGCCATTGTCTCCAGGAGAACTGATCTTGGTCATCTGGAGATCAGTTGTAATAGCTGGGAAATTTTCTGTACGGGAAATGAGGTGCTGTGGCTGGGGAACACCGTGATTTCTGGGAGATCTCCAGGGCCCACAGGGAGATTGGCAACTCCAGTGACCATTTAAGGTAAGATTGGGATATACATTTTACCTCAGGACACATTCAATGACTCCCAACAGCAAACTGTTTAGAATGTTAGAGGC